TTTTTATTTTTTAGAGCTGTTTAATTTTCTTGTGCATTATCAGGGATAGCGATTAGATTTTACTGCTGTTATGCAGGATTGGTCAGGCACGGACTAAAAACGCAGTTAGTTCTCTACCCTCATTGGTAGGAAGAGTGTGTCCTTCAAATGCACTAGTTTAATCAAAGCTGCAGTTTCTTGCAAGGTAGGGGAATGGGAAGTTTCTTACCATTTGGCGGTCCTATGTCGCCACCTGCTGGTGCATCAGAATGATCTGATTCTACTTCCCAGTCGATGTCTGATGGAGATAACTCAATGTTGTTCGATGGAGATAACTCAGTGTCAGAGTGCACGTCGACAGACAAAGAAACCGACTCAGGGTCTTCGTGAATATGCAGCACAACCAGCTGGGGTTCAGGCTGCCTGCTTTTGGTTTCAGTGTGGTTTCCCTCATTTCTCCCATCTGGAAGAGCAGAAAGCAGTATCCCTGCTGCTTCGCTTTCCAGAGACTCATCCCCTGGGGACCCAGCTTCCTCTGTCGTTTCTGCACCGTGGGCAGGTTCCGTGAGAGAGGATAAATCAAAGGGCGGTGTGTATGGTGCCAGCGATCTCTTCAGAGCGTCTTCCTCCAAGGGAGGGTCACCACCATAGAGGAAATGTTCGGGCTCTTTCATTAGATCTTCATCGATATTTTGGCTCATTACATCAGATTCAAAATCACCCCATGAGGCTTCAGATGAACAGATATCTTGCCTCCCTGCGTCCCCATCACCTGGTGTTTCCGGATGGCCTTCTGACAATGTCAATTTACTCATGTCATCTATTGTTCCCGTGGATGTGTTCATACCTGAGGCATCACTGAAACTATGGTCAAAGGCAGCTTCACTTACGTCCAGGCAAGTGTCTGAGACTAGTAAAGCATCGATAACTGCAGCGGGATTCTCAGGAGCAAAAGGCTGCTCACAGCCAAACCAGGTTCTTGCACCTGAATGACTTTCAGGAGAAAAGTCCTCTGATACCCAAGGGCTGTCGCCTTCCATAGTAAGCTCTTGGTGAGTTACAAAAATGCTAGTTTGCACATTTTCAATCCCTGGGATTGTTCTGTTGTCGGGTTCCACAATTGGTGCTGTCCCTGGGCTGGTTCCTTGTTCTGATGCTTTTACACCTGTATGGTTGTCACCATTTGCTGCAGAGGGTTCAGGAGGACTTTTATGAGAGGCGGGCTGAGATGTGCCATTCATGTTTGCTTGATTGCTGGTTGGAGGCAGCGGAATTGCATTGTCAGAACAGAGCTCTGAACTGTATGGGACAAATTCCTGCCCAGGCTCCCAACTGGGCCCTTCACTCGTCTTTGGCTCAGTGAGATGAAACTCACCAGATTCCACGTCAGGTCCCCTGCAAGCACTGATGTGCTGCTCAGTCTCTTGCTTTGCTTCAGAGTCATGACATATATCAGGGCTGCTGGAAGCCTGAGAATTGCTGTCATGGTCACAGTGAGTGACTATATCGGGGCCCTCACCATCTACTTTCAAACTGAGGGGCTGCTTAGCATCCACCCACAGGTCAGGCGAAGCTGTGGCCAGTTGCTCACCCTCTTGGAAGTTGCCATGTAAAATATCTGGAACAAAGGCATCTTGGGGACTCTCACTCGGGGTAGAGCCACCCCATTCGGAGGATAACTTCTTTACTAATTGTGTGGGAGAACTGACAGCTGGGAAATTTTCTGTGGCAATGCTTGAATTTGTCATTTCACTGAGGTATGATTTCTCTTGTTCCCACCAATTTGTTTCTGGACACACAATAGTTGAAACATTAGATATAACACGTTCATTTTCACCTGTGTGAGGAGATGGGTCTGGTTGATCCCAAGCTGACAGCACGGTGTCCTGGCACTGCTCTTGGGTAGGCATTTCAGCAGCGAGTC